AACCGCATTTATTAGTCAGCGAAAAGTTACTTTTGGTAAAATCTTACTACTCGTGTAAATTAAAAAGGCTTCCCCGTAACTTTCGGATGAGGAAGCCATTGACAAACTTGCCAGAGTGTGGTTGCTGTTGCCACGTACAACCACTCGGACTATTTTTGAATTTCTCGAAGAGTTACAGTTACAACAAAAGGAATTTTGACTCTTGACCGTTCTACTTGTGTCCCTGCCTTTCAAAGAGAGATGGGATATGCAAAAGTTCTCCGACGTTGGCCGATTACTACTTTTAGGTGCTTTTACGTATTCACGGCTTTTCCAAACCCCGCAGTGCGTTATGTTACTCACCGACTTCTACTAATTTTAGTTGCTGCCCATGAAGAGACACGGAGCAGCCTATTATTCGGAAACAATGATTGCTTTCTCTGTGCTTTCGTGGCTGGTAAACAATGTAAGGAGATTGGAGCTTCTAATAATCGAAAAAGAAGCATGCCCGTGTCACTTCCAGTGACCAAAACCAATTGGTTTTTGAAGGGACAAAAGGTCAAACAGTAGTAATCTGAACTTTTTTGGCATATTGCGACCTTTCAGTAAAACTTGCAGACCCTGTACAACATACTGTAATCACATCAGAATCACTTTTTCACAAAGTCAAATGTATGGACTTGAAACAATGTCCTACCTATTCTTTTAAATATTAATACCTCATTTCTGGGTCTAAATCTATACCTATTACGAGGACCTCAACCTCAGTTTCATCTGAGAAGCACTGAAAATCTCAAGACTTTTTGCTCCCAGTCAAGTTTTTTTTATTAATTGCCTTCTCCAGGACCTTCTTCGAGACATTTCTTCGAAGAGTGATCTGATTTTTGGAAAGGCACTTACATCCTCAACATCAATATATTCGTTGTCTTCCTCCATCACTTCATCACCCATCAATGCCGCACGCGTCTGTCGTCCGTTTACTTCTGCAAATCCAGGAACCAGTCAAACGAATGCCACAGTTTTGGGATAAAACACAGGAAGATCCTCATGCCCTACCCTTATCATGCATGGCATAATATGATAGCTTTTGTTATTGCATTTCTAGACACTTCTCCGGATATCTTTGACCAAGGCCCCATCTCACTAATGAATTCTGGCTGATTATTTTGCAAAAATCTTAATTTGTCGATGGAAAGCTGTGGATAAATTTAAGCCGGCTTTGCGCTGCAAAAACTTGTTGAAAGTGCATCGTTGATTAATCCCTCATACATCATCGGAATGAGCGAAAAAAGAAAGAGGTAGCCAGGGGTGGTCGATTTTGCAGAACAAAACAAACTGAAAAAGAATAATTTATTAATGAAGCTCGAGAGGAAACGTGAGCACTGGGAATATCATTAAAAAATAACGAAAACAGCAGCCCCCTTCCCACAACACTTGGCCAAAATTTATCACAATAGCAAAACTTACCATTTTGCTTTCGATAAAAAACCGCAACATATTCGCACGGTGAGTTCCTGGACAAAACAGCATCTCTACCTATCCTAGCACTGACCGGTTCCGGTCTGGCAAGAGCGATATTATCAAGGAAGTGTACGGAAGGAAAAAAGTAATTAGACTAGTCGCATGTAATATGAAAAACGACG